CCGGTGAAGATTAGGCCGGTGAAGATCAAGAGGGAAGATAACTGGTGAGTGCAGTCCGGTGAAGATTAGGCCGGGCAACAATCCGGTCAGGAACAGAACCAGCCGGGGCAACAATCCGATCAGGAACAAGCCGGGGAACAAGCCGGTCAGGAACAAGCCGGTCAGGAACAAGCCGGTCAGGAACTTCAAAGACGGTCAGGAACAAGCCGGTCAGGAACAAGCCGGTCAGGAACAAGCCGGTCAGGAACAAGCCGGTCAGGAACAAGCCGGTCAGGAACAAGCCGGTCAGGAACAAGCCGGTCAGGAACAAGCCGGTCAGGAACAAGCCGGTCAGGAACAAGCCGGTCAGGAACAAGCCGGTCAGGAACAAGCCGGTCAGGAACAAGCCGGTCAGGAACAAGTCGGTCAGGAACAAGCCGGTCAGGAACAAGCCGGTCAGGAACAACTCAGCTTACCACAGCTCTTTGTGGAGCTAGGACGAGTGCACGACAAGGAAAATATATTGGCATCAGCCCAGAGCAGGACAGTTGAAGAGAAGAAAAATACCTGGGTAATAGAGGATATGCCGAGACGGGTCCTTGAAGACAGGAAAAAACTCAAACCCGTCCTTATAGAGGCCAGATTACAAGGAAGGGAAGCTAGGATGTTGGGAAGCAATGTGTATGTGGATGGTGTCTTGTACAAAGGCAAAGACTGACGGATCGTGACTGGAGGAGACGAGGAAGGAGCAAGACCCAAATTGCGATCGACCATAAAAATGGGCGAAAGATCGGGTAAGACGACACAACAAGAAAAGAAAAAACACCAAAAGCCACAGAAGACGGACATCAGGCTATATTATTCACCCAAGCGGACTCGTTCTGGAATGAAGGACTAAGATTGGGGCGAAAGCAATGGAGTAGAGGAGGAAGAAGCCCAAAGCCAAGGATAGGATTTACTCAGCACTTCACTAATTGGTAGATTGATTGCAGTGAATACATTTTTCTGGAATATTGAAGGTCAACTTGGGAAAATTACAGGAATACGTAAGCATGGACTAAAAAAGTATGATGCAGTAGCTCTAGTAGAGACTTCGCGAACAGGGAAAGACGTGGAAACAATAAATAATTTTGAGGAATATGAAAGACAGAAAGAAAAATATACCATTAGGAAAAGGAGGAGCATCAGGAGGGATAGCGTTATATGCGAAAACACACACTTTGCAATCTTCAGCAATACTTGAGAACGAAGAAGTTGCGATGTGGCTGAAACTCACGGTGAAACATTTGCAATTTGTATTAGGCTGTGTTCCACCCCCAAGCTATGAGTACGCGGACGCCAATGCATGTAGGAACTTTGACAAGAGCGTAAAGGCTATTGAAGAAGAATTCCCTGGTTGTGGACTACTCCTGCTGGATGTCTTCAATGGAAAGGCTGGGCTCACTAAAAAAAAAGGTCACTATCTGTGGGAAAGATAAGGACAGAACATCCGTGGAGACCCTCCCCAAAAGACTCATTAGAGACGCAGCCATTGATACCCCAGGAAGGCAATTGATGGAGTTCACGAAAGGAAACGGTCTCTTATATATGGATGAAAGAAATGACGAACATGAAATTGGCCTTTATACATGTGTAACTGCGAACGGAGCGAGCGTGGTAGATCTATGCGATGAGAAACTTGGTGATGTGGGATGCTCTTAAGACCCTCCGAGTAGCCGGGAGGCAGGAGCATCAGTCCATTTTTCTGTACTATGGACTTGTCCTACTGGGAATATAATTAAATTTTACTTATCAAACTATCAAATCATTACATCAACTCTGCATTGATTAAACAGCACGCCACCATTTTAAACGATCAGATTCACCCTCTCCCTGAACAATGCAAACTTTTCTCGAAAAAAATTAGGAGTTACGGAAGCGCAAGCTGCTTCGACAGCCTTGTGAAGCGAGTTCAGACACTGTGAAACTTCCGGTATACCAGCTGCTTTAAGTACCCCGCAAAGAGAAGTTGCAGGGGACGAAGTCTGGGCGTCTTGAGGGCTAGGCGATCGGTCGACGTCTTTTAATCTAGCGCTGAGGAAAACTCGTCCAGCCAGATCCGCAATGTTTCAGAACTGGAACAGGACTCTTCAAACAGTCGTACCAGTAAACAGACTTAGCCCTTTCGGCTGCAGAATACGACCCTTTTGATTATTTATTCCATTCACGCTACTTTAACTGTCAAAGAATTTGGGAGAACCATGGTTCAAACGGGCTTCGCCAGCAGCATAAAAACTGCGATCTCGAAAACTTACATTTCCAGAAAACTGCTAACAAATCAGTTCAGCTTCAACTGAGAATAATGAAACCTTCTACGCTAGAATCCCATGTCAAATTTAATATTTTTGCTAAATTTTGTGGATTTTCGCTGAACGGTGCTTGCATGGCACGCGTTTACTTTTGGGACTTTAATTCTGGGATACCCACCAAACTACCTTGAAGGACGCATACCGGCCTTCCACATGTAGTGCGGTCTTATTCACATCCTGAGCCTCCAGGATTGCTGCAGTGTGACATCTTCAGTAACCGATCCAACGGATGTATGTAAGGGCTGTCTATCAATTAGCTCTAATTTTCCCTTTTACTACTGTATTAGAAGAATGCCGTTAAATGTCGACCTCATTTCTAATAACTGCAACAATTCCTGACCATAAAAACGGGAGAGCACTTAGAAGGTAAGTGAAACAACCACCACATGAGGCCCAGACACACACGCTTGCTACAGATGGTGAAAGAGGAGCCCACCAAGCAACCAAGGTGAATATACGAGGGTGGATCAAAAAGCTTCCGGAAAAGTTTTTGTTAGTAAAGTTATACGTGACCTAGAATGATAAAACTTACATATTAAGGTATTTGCAATATAAACTAATGCCGTTCAAATTTATCACTCCTGGCATATGCGCAGCGCCCTTGAGAAGATGACAGCTTGCACGGAAAAAGTGCTCATCATTGCGACACAAGCTATTGAGCAAATTTTTGGGAAAAAATGGATTGAGACTTTTTAAAATTCTTCGTATAATACAGGCACAATCTTGTGATGCATGTTAGGGTAAAAGTAGCTTACATGAATGGCCTGCAAGAAAGAGTGTAAGAGTGTATGGGAAGATCTTGCATCTTATCTCGTCCCCAAAACCTCTAGGTTCAAAGCCGTGCAATCAACTGGGAAAGTCATGGCAGCCCTTTTATTTAGAATTCGAAATGATCTTTGGAATTCTAGATGAGTGAATTTCATTGACTTTCTTCAGCAAAATGCCGCAGTGAATGCTGAATATTACAGCAACCTCTTAACACACGCCCAGCGACTCCAGAACACTATGGGTTTAAAAACGTAAGACTAGGGTTCCCGGCGTCAATGGGTTAAAAGGATCACCTCACGAAACTACTTGACAAAAGCAATCAGGGAAGCTGACTTCAGACGTAGCTTTGTAGCACGATAATGCGCGCTCACATACGGCGAAAAGAACCGCTCAAAGTCTACGGAATCTTGATTGAGAGATCCTTCCACATCCACCTTATAGTCCAGGTCTCGTCCCGAGTGACATCAACTTTTTCTCCGAAGCTGAAAGAAGCGATCTGAGTAAGAAAATCCGAAACAAATGAAGATCTGAAGACATTCCAAGGCTGGTGCAAGCACCAGCCGGTTAACTTTTCCACTGAAGTCTTCCTTCAGCCGGTAAATCGTTGGATACAATTTTGCGACGTAGAAGGGGAGGACGTTGTGAAGTGATGTAAGTTACATTAACACTGGTATCACAAAATTACAGCCGTTTTCCGAAAACTTTTTGATCCACCCTCGCATATACAGGGTGCGTAAGAAGTTCTGTTACAAACTTTGGACTCACATAGAATGTCTCCCGGGTAGAATCTTTTACAAGCCTATGGGCGTGTGACTTGTATGGACATGTAGCTTAAAGTTGCAGATGAAGCAATGGTCTCATCAGTTCTTATCATTTTTTGTGCCAAAATGAATGCACAACGTGCAGCCATCATTGAGCTTCATCTCAGCGGAAAAACACCACCAGAGATATTCAAAGACCTCTCAGGCCAAGGCACGAATCGTATGTTCATTCATCGCACCATTAAACGATATCAGCAGACCCACTCTATCCAGGATCGTGAGAGAAGTGGACGCCCAATGTCTGCTACGGCTCCAGAGATGGTGAAAAAGGTGGCTCTCCGAATTCAACGGAACCCCAGGCGTTCCATGAGGAAGATGGCCAGGGAAATGCACATATCAGAGGGATCCATGAGAACTATTGTCAAGAAACATCTTCATCTGAAATCTCTCAAACGCAAGCATGCGCAACTGCTGCCACCTCGCACAAGGCAGTTGCGACTTCAACGAAGCAAGGCCCTGCTGCAGCGGTTCACGGCTGATGATGTGGACAAAATCCTGTTTTCAGATGAAAAATTGNTTAATCTCTCCTACATTAAAAAGAGAAGATCAAGACAACGATACTAAGGCTGAATAAGCCATGGATCGGACATAACGCCGGCATGATATCCGGCAACACTGGAGGACGGGACCGCTGCCATTGCGCTAAGCCTAAATTAACGGCATTTAATTTTATTTTTTATTGCGAAATGGTACACTGAAAGCAAAAAAAGAGAACTTTTCGTCACCTCCAGGTCAATATCTTTGAATTAATGGTCCCTTTTCTCCAAAAACTTCCCAGAAGTGACTACCCGGGGGTAGGGGGAGGAAAAAAATACCGGAATGACTTTCACATCTCCGAACAAGCGAGATTCAGTGATCTCTACAACTCCAGGGAGATGGAGCTTCAAATTTGCTGGAGTGATTCTACGCTGAGAGAAGTGTGCCAAATTTCATTTACGTCAATGCTCTAACAGAGGAATACGAAACGGTTGAATTTCATCGCCGGAAGGGGTTGAAGAAAGGTAATGGGCGCTACCGTGCCCATTGATATTTAAGTTTCTATACTTTTATCAAGAAATTTGAAACATTCATGATATTTTTCATTTTAAAAATTAAAATTCTTGGAAAAAATATCATTGGTTGAATTCGGGAAGAAGCAGCGCCGATGCTTCGAGAAGCTTTTGAGGTCGGGCGGCGGCTCCGTCCGCGACGCCGTGTAGAGCCGCTCGCATATGCGACAGCCAATATCCATGGTCCCCTTCTCCGTGTTTATGATATATTTGGACTTCCATTGGAAATACAATCGGTATGCCTTATTGTTTCCGTCAAGATGCCGCAAATGATGTGCCAGGCTTCGAACGGAGCTGAAGTCTCTCACGTCGATATAGGAATTTGGCGGGGCCAAAGAAAAGTAATTTGCGCCGCCGAGAACCACCGGAACCCAAGGGAAACGGAGGGCATCGAAAAACTTCTCGGTCACGTAGTCCTTACAGATCGCATTTTCGAAGGCGAGAAAGAACTTGTACTTTTTCCACAAATATTGATATCCAATGATGTTGTTCCCCACGATCATCCCTTTCCCACAATATCCATACACATCGACCGTGAGATTTTCTCTCTGGAGGTCCCGGATGAGTTCTTCCCTCTTGCTTGGCGCGTGGCAGTCGCTGATGAGCGCAACTGCGAGTTTTCTCTTCTGCGGACGACAAGTCCTTTGAAACTGACGGAAGTGTATCAAGTCGGGCTTTTCTCGTCTGGAGAACCGACCGTACCTCGTGATGACGTCTGCGTCCGATTCATAAGTGAACACCCAGTCAATGGGTAAGATGGCATTGTGTCTGACAACCGGGGCTTCATTTGTGAAAATCCCCCATATCGATCCATCGGTCTTCTCCGGGATCGAGGATCTCGCGAATCGGTCCCACCAATACCAGGAGAACATAACGAAGTCAGCTTCCTTCAGGTTTACTCCGTCGTGTGTTCCGAAGCTGACGTCGCAGCGATAGGTGGCGTTACCTACGCGGCAATGGAGGTGTTTATGGAAGTTGTGATACCGCAACCAGTTTTTCCAGCTGCCCAGCAGGCGATCGTAAAGGAGGATGGTCTTCCTCGGGCCTGAGGGCCTTCCCTCTTTCGCCTGCGCCATACCTCTGCAGACTTCGCTTGCCATTGGCTTCGAGACAAGGCAATACATGGTTAGACTCCCCATGCAAAAAAGGAAGATGAAGATGTCCTTTCGCCCTATGCATGCTGGTTTCATGGTACCATCAAGGGAATCTGGAAATGAAGACGAAGATGATACGTCACGAGATCAGTATTACTATCCCAAGCAGCATGCTTATGTTCATTTTACGTAAAAGGAATGTAAATTTGTTGTAAATTTATATCATTTTTGCGCAAATCATCCTCAAGATGATGTCAACATGTTTGGAGAAATGTCACCTATGTGATACGCAAACGATGATATAAAGTTAACGTAACATTTACGTAAAATTGACATACCCGTTTATATTCCCAACAGGATGTTTACATCCATTTTAAGTAAGATTCATGTTAATTTCCCCCTAACATTCATGTGTATTTAACGAGCCAATCAGTTCCTTTAAAGGGAATTGATACACTGTATTTCTCCCATTCCTTTCCATACTTTAGAACTCTAGGGTGGTTCCACGAGTACACAAATATTCATCCTCACCAGCACCCAAGATTCCCATGGTTCTTCCTCTCGTACCAGGATCTCGGGAGGAGGAGTAGATGTTAAGAGGAGCTCTCTTCCACTTAGGATAGAGAAGGTGTAGTTCTTGGGGAGGTGGGATTGTACTCTTCCTTAATCCCGTGCACTGCTGTAATAAAAAGCTTAGCTTCAGCATGTAACGATTCCCTGAGTCATTTACTATTGAAACATATATAATAATTCCATGTTTTCAATATATATTCATGTATTGCATAATAAAAAGTGGAAGGACGGTTAGAAGACCTGATACTATGTCAGGAAAGCCAGTGCTAAGTAGCATTTGTCGGATGAAGGGAACAAGGGTTCCATCTAGTGAGGAATCTTAGTACTGCAACTGCGGGATGGTCAGCTAAAATTTCATATGGATGGTGTGGTGCTAATTTTCCATAAACTTGATATGTACAGGGTGGTGCATAAATACCTCCCTGATTTGCCTTTCCTGTTATGGCGGTCTGCGATATATTTCCCTGAAGTGCATTCTCTCTAATGAAATGCATCACTCTGGAGATTATTCAGCAATTGAGCGTTGGTCCGTGAAGGAGCGTATGAAGGCAGTCGAAATCTTCATCCAAACTAAGTCAATTGTGACAACCCAGCGGGCATTCAAACGTGAACTCAACTGGCGTGCTGCCCCCTCTCACAAGACCATCACGGCCTGGGTGTCTAAATGGCATGAGACTGGCTGAGTCCGTGATATGCCACCACCTGGGGCCTGTTTCATGGAATTTACAAGTTCTACAAGTTACAAGTTACAAGTACTTGCAAGGGTCGTGCTCCTTGCTTAACTCTTCCTGCTGGTCCCGCTGGCCCTTCGTACAAATACAACATGACCCTTGTAATTACTAGTAACTTGTAACTTGTAGAACTTGTAAATTCCATGAAATAGGCCCCTGGGCGCCCAAGGTCAGTCCGTACAACAGTGGCAGCAGCGAAGGTGCTGCCAGCAGTCCAGCGCAGTCCCCAGAGATCGACGCGTCGGTTGGCCCAGGCAGTCGGAGTGCAGCGGACATCAGTCATACGGATCCTCCACGAGCAACTGCATCTACACCCCTACAAACTGCAAGTTGTGCAGGCACTCTGGGATGATGATAAGCGTACACGTGTGCAGTTTTGCATGGAGTTCCTCCACATGGTGCAGGGCGATCCGCAAATTCCGGAGATGCTGCTCATGAGTGACGAGGCACACTTCGAGCTCAGTGGCCATGTAAACAAGCAAAACTGCCGATATTGGGAGGCAGAAAATCCACACTTACTCCAGGAGCGGCCATTACACAGTGAGAAACTGACCGTGTGGTGTGCTGTGTGCACATATGGAGTGATCGGCCCATACTGCTTCAAGGACGACGATGGCGACACTATCACCGTTAACGCTGCCCGATACGTCCAAATGCTGCAGTCATTCTTGGACGTGGAGATGCGTCGACGTGGTCTTCCTCCTGGAATGTGGTTCCAGCAGGATGGGGCGACTGCACACAGCCCGGATGAGCATGAGCGTCCTCCGCAAAATGTTTCCTGGGCGCGTGATATCCAGACCTAACAGCTCCTGATTTTTTTCTTTGGGGGTACCTGAAGAGCAAGGTGTACAACACACGTCCAGCAACATTTGAGGCTTTGGAAAGTCGCATTCGGGAAGAAGTAGCCGCTGTACCCATCGCGATGTTGCAGCGCGTCATGCAGAATGTAGTGGACCGGGCGCGAGAATGTGTCGAGCGCGATGGCGACCACCTGAGTGATGTAATTTTTCACAAGTGACTGTCTATGTGATCGTCCTATAATTTCCACATTCCCAGGCTGCCGTGGGAATAGATATCAGAACAAAGTCAATTGTCCTGAGTCTTTTATCTCCTCTTACAACCCGAGAGGTATTTATGCACCACCCTGTACTTCACGTCAGATGGAGTGACGTCTAGTTCATGTAAAATACACGTACAATTTTGTGACGTAAATATATGAACGTAAATTTTGTGCAAGCGTGATGTCCTTTTCATGGCAATCGCAATAAATTTCCATTGTTTGCAAACAATTGATATCTTGTTGACGTAAACCTGCTACTTCGGATCCTTCATGTAAATATGTTTAGATGTACTTCATTGACTCCAGAGAGGGCTTATTCAACCATAAATGCGAGATTCTGTGAGAATCGTTTGCTTTTAATTAGATGTTTCTAGAGGCCAGGACCCGAATTATTGAGAACCAAATATATCAATAGCATTTTTTTTTAACAACTTCACCCCAAATCATCCGACTTGATATCAAATCACTCAATGATGTGGTCATGTGATGACTGTTTTTGAATGTATAACTGAGGCCAGAGTTGGCGTGGCTCGGGGTTCTGTGCCACGTGACAAGCGGTGTGGAGAACAAAAAGAAGTGGATTCGCACTCATTCACATTCATTAGTCAACTAAAAATACATTATTAATAATTTCTGACCTATGAAGGCACAAACCAGCGAAGAACAAGCCGGCGAAGACAAGCTGGCGAAGTCCAGGTCGGTGCAGTCAAGGTCCAGAAAGGTGCACAGCAGCTAGATGAGTGCACATAGGCCAGAAAGGGGCTTGGACCTTCAAAATTATCTACCTTTATCTAGTCTATCAATAGATATCTACCGATCTATTGGAAAAATATGTCGATGGTTTTTTTGGTCAATGCAAAGGCTATCACGAATCTTTGAACCAACAAATCAATCACCTAATGACGAGAACATTTGCATATATATTTTTGAACAAGTTATATTCGACACAATAGGTAAATTGAAAAAAAGCTGGATTTTGTGTGTGGAACAAGGTGGAACAGGCTAGAGCGGAGGTGCAGCTGGATGTAATCAATTTTCCAATCAACTACCATAAATTCCGATACGGAGTCCAAGTTCCGCAAGGGAGCAGACTACGTTGGCGCTTCCTGATTGACCCTGGGGAGTCGTTGAGTTCAGGAAACAATGCCACGTGCTCCCGTACTCCACCATGGCTGCCCCGCTTCTTCCGCCTTTACCGCGAAAACGTTTTGGTTTATGAATAGTTCTACCTGAATGAGATTTGTAGTCCAGATATCTTCACCAGTAACGGGAAACATTTGGGGGGGGGGCTTTTTGACCATATTTACGAGGGTCACTCAAATGAAAACAAGAAAATCGCAATATGAAATAATTCTTTATTGATGGACGTCCGTAACTTCCAGTGTAGGTCGCAGAGATTGTGAGAAAATCCGTCACAGCTGGCAACACCATGTGACCAGAAAGAACAGAGCAATCGCTTAAGGAACATATCGCTCACAGTGCCTTGTGCGTCCAAGGAAAGGACCTGACCAAGGAGGTCAGGTCGACGATGTCACCACAGAAAATATAAAAAAATATGGACGAGTTCAATCGGAGTAGAGAAACGTTTTACTGGATGAATCGACTGCAGATTGGAGAATCAGTCACAGCTCAATTCACACCGTAATTTCGATGTGTTACGATTTTCTGGTTTTCATTTGACCGACGCTCGTGAGGTAAACGCACGCAAAAGGATAATGTCTCCATCATGCGTCGCCTTCTCCATCAGACGCCGTCCTTCTCCCCCCTACATCTGGACCATGACACAAAAAATCACTTTCTGACAAGATTTGAAGTCCAGATTTCACTCTAAGCGGTGCAATAAATGTTGAGGCTGTGCATCTTAATTTTAGTCTAATACTCCCCCAAATTAGAACCACCCCCAATCTCACCTCTCCTGGGAGGGCAGGCAATGTTCCGTCCTTCTGAAGAATCTCCGAAACGACTCGTCTCATGAAACATCCTATTCATTAACAGGATCTGGAGCTCAGAGTCCATTCTGGTCTGTGGTAATACGCTTTTCTGATATTTTTTTCCCTATATGTGTTATGCATATCGCGTATCTGCTAGAAAATGAACGGTGAACATGCACCCGCACTCTATCAGCGCGGATCATGTGTTAATTTAATTGCACAATCAAATTCATTTACTTTTAGGGTCATCTTTTTTTTCAAGACACATATCTTACTTCATGGCCTTGTCCATCCGAACATAGAAGGTGGACCGGAAAAAGCCTGACAGTTTTCAACGATACATTATACTGCATTCACTGGATATATTTAAATGCGGCTTGCGGCATTTGATAGAAGAATGAATAAGCTTTACAATGGTGTATTTATATTTCAAACTAGCGAATTTGAAACAAACTCTCCGTGGTCCCGCCTTCGGCGCTCCATTACCTTGGATAGCGATTAATTCGTTTATTTTTTGCGAAATGGCAAACACGTATTTAAATTACGTCCCGGTTACGCCATCGCTGTGCGCATCGGGAAACTGGTGGTTTATAATGTGTACAAACCACCCAACACCCAGTGGTCTTCACCACCGCTTCCGTCACCCGTCTATCCAACAGTCTTCGCGGGAGATTTTAACAGTCACCACAGTTTGTGGGGCTACCCGACCAACGACAATGCAGGAGAACAGCTTGCTGACTGGGCATCAGCAAATAACCAACACTTGCTGTTTGACGCCAAGCAAAAGCAAAGTTTCCGGTCCGCCCGCTGGAAGAAAGAATATACGCCGGACCTGTGCTTTACGTCTACGGACCAGCATGGGACCCCACTACCGGCCTCACGGACAGTACTCGACCCCTTCCCAAGGAGCCAACATAGGCCGATCGTCATCCATGTCGGCCTCGAAATCCCGTCCATTTCAAGTGCACCCACACCGAGGTGGAACCTGCGACGGGCAGATTGGCCGGGGTTATACCTTATAGTCAACCGGAAACGAGCTCCTTAAATTACATCATTCTTACTTTAAGTGAGGCACGCTGAGATCTTGGTTACAAATGTCATTGGTATATATTATGTTGTGGTACTTACTGGTGGCTCTATGCGTTGATGGTCGTGAATATAGTGTTCTAAGGTAACTGAAGAGTATGCTGTAAGAAATTGTTACATCATTATGTTCTTGGAATTCGATAATTTAGAGGGTCGGTTTTATGGACCGAATCGCGGTGAGGGTCTCTGAATGTCGATCCCTAATCGTAGGCATTGGTAAGTGAAGCACACGCGAAAGGTCGGGAATTCTGCATTCATATGTACGACGCCACTTCTCTGATGTGCTAACTGTACCCCGTACATGTATCTTTCCATGGTCAGCATTAAGATCCATATCAAAGGCCATGGATATTCTAATCAAGTTTGACTGTCAAGCAATATCCAGCTAGTCCCCTCTTTGAACCTCTCTTCTGGAGGTACCTCTCAGGCAATCGTGCTGGGAATATGCAGTCTGTCCAAAATCGGTCGTTCCTGGCTATGCAAGCCAACACGGCGAGCGGCGTGCGCGTATAGAGGCTTGCTAAGTCCTTCACGCCGGGTGGTGGATGCTAAGTGAAGCTAGGAAGCACGATCACGGGCCCGACTTTGAGGAACTGAAGGGTCGGCTTTCGCGCCGTTGGTTCGATTCATGCGTCCAAATGTATTATTGCATTTCAATGCTTCTTGCGATATCATTACTAATGATGCAAAGGCTTTCAAGCTGATATTGTAGATCACAATCCAACTTTTACAGATAAACACACTCACGACCCTGCGTGACGCATTCGTTCAGTATGGAGCCTCTTTTGTAGAGCACGTCATTGTAATAAGGAAACGGGCTGGACTTTCGCATAATTACTATAATCCCTTATCAGGCTAACGTTACTCATCATCTGTGAAAAATCCTGAAATTCCTAAAGTTCAGGAGTAAAGGGAAATTTTCCACTAAGTCAAAGAGTGACATTCGTCTCAATAATAAAAAAGAGCCCATATTACGCCAGCTTTTCATCATTCTGTGGGTTAGGCCTAGGCCCAACCGCAGTGAGTCCGGTTGTAAGGTGAGCAGGGGAGGGTTGTCGAATGGGAAATCCTTGGAAAAATGCATTTCCAATGCATTATATTCCATTGCGTTAGCATGATACATGGTATAATTTGTTTCTCTATTTTCACATCGGTTATTGCCTTTCCACATACACCACATGGAAAAATCTAAAACTGGCTTTCTTCTGGCCATTCCTGTTTGCCTCTGTTAGAGTCCCTTCAGCTTCTTCTTTCTTCATCTCAACATATTTTACTCATGATGATGATGGGATGGGGATGGCGATGATGGGGATTTTCTTCTTCCTCTGCTATTAGGAGTGACTTTCTTCAGAACCTGAGACTTTCGAGAATAAAGAAGGAACGTCTCTTTCCTTATTTATCCACAAGAATCTAACCCAGAGACAATTACTTTTCATTTCCCTTCATATTTAGACAGGAAAGACCCTTGTTGAAAGACAGGTGATGGGGACGTTGCATCATCTCAGTGAGCTTCAGTGATCCCTGGTGTTGGGGCTCGTAAGGGATTTCGTCCGTCTAACCTGTTTAACACCAGAACTTCCAGTACTCAAAGAGTCCTATGTGCAACTCCATCTATAAGCTCTACATATCCAAAAGAATTTCCTCGAAATTGTGTTATGCAGATTTATTGTCATATCTTCATGAAAATACACTATGAAATATGTTACTTTACCCCTTCAAAGCGGAGTCCTCACAAATGCCTACAATTTTGTATCACTCCACATTTTACCCAGAACGGTTTTAGCAGGATCGAAACGAGTCACATCGGGGAAAGTGACATCATAAAGCCTGAGACATCTTCAAAACGTCCTCCCAATTTCCATGTTGGAAGCACCAGAGCTCAGCAAAGTTAACCCTGTCCGTGCCTCTCGCTAACTTCCTCGTTAGAATTGGCTTGGTGATCATTCTTCTTCCAAAATAGACTGGGTTAGTGTTAAATGCTAACACGTTAATAATGGTCAATTTTCATACCTCAAGTAGAGTTTGACATCTAGCAAATCAACGACAAATTCCTTGAAAAGGGGAAGGCAGAAAAAATTGATTAGGTTATTCATTCTAGGATTATAACCTCTTATCACCTCGATGCTTCAAAAGTTCTTGCCAAATACCATTAAATATAGGCAAATCCTATTCCGATATTTCGTGTTGTTCTCAAGGAATTCCATGAAATTCGGGGTTTTTCAGACATTTCTTCGCTAAAGCAATGAAGCAGAGCATTATTACATCAGGGCAGATCACCTT